CTGGTAGTCTTGATGAAAATTCATTGAAAATTTATTTCCTCAACCCCGAGTAGTCTCACTGAATTGGAATTGGAGATGTCCAGAAGGAAGAAGAAAGCTTCTCTGTTACAGTCCTTTGCTTCTAAGGGCTTTCTCTCTACAAAGTTCAGCTTAAGGCATAACTGTCAATCTGAACACCATCAGTACCACTGATTTTGATGCTAGAGTACTCTGAGTGTATAATTTGGAGTCCTTTGTGGGTGCTTCCATACTCAACTATAGTCTTACCATTCCCATTAGACAGATGGAAGGAAGTAGGAACAGATTTGCCACCTCTCCCTTTCTACTTTAGTTTCTTTTGTCTTGTTTTCCACGTAGGAGCTCTGCTGTGTTTTATAGGATGTAAGAGATCTGATCATCCCACCTGTTTTGGGAACACAGAGCTGATATTGTTCAAATTGTCAAAGGTCTTATAAGTAGTATGATTTTTCTCATTGCTTAATAATGTTTGATGACCATCAGAGTTTAGTGCAGGTAAAAGATTAAACATTCATTACTATAGTCACCTGCATTTTCCAGGTAGACATTCTACCTCAAGACTAAGGTTCTCCTTTTGGCCACTGCTATTTCTTTTTTGAAAAACAGATTGGCACAATATCAATCTGATCTCTCTGGGTCTACCATAAGATATTTCTGCTCAGCTATAAATAAAATTGTGTACATCTCAGCAAAGGAATATTATATTTTATATTTATAATTATAAAGCTCATAAGATGACACTTAGGTGCATTTTTATGTTTGTCTATGCTGATAAACTCTTCCTACTTATTCCATTCTGCTATGAGGTAATTTAGGCTGCTGCCTAAAACAGAAAAAGGGATTGTCCATGGACCACTGTACCCACTGTTTCAAAATGTCACAAGTTACACTCAGTGCATCTGCAGGGGTAGCTTAGAGTGAGGATCTGCTAGAATATACAGTGCTTTCACAGTTTCACCACGTTTTTATACTCTAAGGGATGCCTTTATTGCTTTTTTTCCTTTTAACTTCTTATTTTCTTTTGACTACTGTTCAGATGCTTTTTGTAAATAATGAAAAGAACATAGCAAGGTAAAGTAATAAACACTGGCTTACTAACCCATGACTTTCACTTCTCTGCTGTCAAAAATCATTTTACATCATGATTTATTAGAACGGATCTGTTTCAGCAAGCTTCTCATTTTTAATATTAATCATATACTCCTAGAATTTGGTTAAAGATTTCCCCTTTTCCTTCTGTCAACATTTCATTTTGTAGAGAAGTAATATCAAGTGAATACTCTTAACTTTCATTGAAACTTATCTCTAACTCAAAGTGCTCTGCAAACATAGTAAATTCTTTGGATCTAATAAAAATTACCAAGCAAGCTGCAACATCAAAGTCACTTCATACATGATCCCCAAATTATAGGAACTCAGAATTGACAGAATAAATATGCTTTAGAGAAGACAGCATTAATTCAGAATGTAGGTGTATTTAGTGCAGTTTGTCTTCAGCTGAAATCTGTTTCCTGCATGAAGAAAGACCAATATGCATAAAAAGGACTGAAATTACCATGCATACAATTCTGGATGGTCAGCTTGCTTGTGTATAATGTAAGACACTTGATATAGCTTACTTCAAACGTTCAAACTTCAGTTTCAGGCAAAGTTAATTTATTAATGTCTTGGAATTAAGCTTTATGGGTCAAATCCATTCTTTCTGGGATGTCTCTAGTGTTACCTTTGGGACAGATTTTGTCCATTTTGTGTCCTTATTATTTTTATAGAATATTACTACTAGAATTCAACAGTTGTAGTTACTGTACACACACATAAAAGGTAACTATAAAAAATTAATACCACATTGTGGTCGTCATTTACCATGTCTACATACAGTTATAAAGTCAAAAGATCAAATCAAAATGGGATCCTGGTTTTCGATGCCTTATTAATTTTGTTCTATTTGATCTGATACTAGATAAAGCTGTAGTAGGATAGAAGTCTATTTTACACAGCAACTGTTTGAGTTATTTTGAAAATAATGTATTTAACACTGGTGGTGTAGTGAAAGTGGTATTTCAATGTAGAAAAGAAAACTTCAGTTGTGGTTAGTATACAGCTAACTGGGATTATAAGACAGTACAGAACTAAAACATGAAATGGATAGTGAAAAATCCATTCCAAATGTCTGATAAACATGATGAATGGATTTAGAATGATGCCAAAAACTACCTATCTTCTTTACTTCCATTTTTATTGTCAAATTTCAAATTATAGTTCCACAGACTGAAATGAAATATTTTTGCTTGAATGACTTTCAAAGGCTAAGTTAAACATGTCTGTTACTCTCACAAAAACACCATACAGGGACATGAAGGTCAACACTCATGGAATAAAATCAGACAAAGAATTTTTTATAATCTTTCAGAAAATCCAAAAATACAAAACAAGCAATCTTCTCTGGATTGGAGCTACCGTTAACTGCTTCTGAGTCTGGACAATTAGGACAACAATTAGTTTTATTCATGATTCTTTGTCATATTCACATTATTTACCATAACCTAGTATACCCTAAGGATATGTAAAAGTAAGTTATTTGCCACATGACTCTACATTGCTTTTATCGTAACGCAGGCAGACACAAAAAAAAGTAATCAGAATTAGAATTTTTTTTTTTTGACAGTATCTTTCCCTCTGCAGTGCTTTTCCTTCCTTTCCCCCAAACACTATAAGCTGGGGGATTCAAATGTATTTCAGATTATTCCATGAAAGTAGACATAACTCAGTTGAGATCAGGGAAGCAAGTGAATTCCAGAGATTCAGAACATCTCTGAGACTATCTTTCAACGTATCATTTCCAGCTAGATGAATAAAAATAGCTACTTTAGAAATTGAAATGTGATAGAATATCTGTACAAGCTTTGGTCTCAACTAATAACTCTTTGGAATTGATTGCAGAAATATGGCTAAGAGAAAAAGATTTGTAATGTCCTGATTAAGCCCTTCGACTGCTTAAGCTGATGTTTACTGAAATATGAATTTTGTTATTCAGTGGACAAGCAGAGTATCTATAAAATAATTTTTGAATCTTTTGTATTCTTGCTGATGAAAATAAAGAACCTTTTTTCTGTGAGTAAAAGGTCAAAAAAAGAATAATAGTACCGAAGGAGATATATCAGCTATCAATTCTCTTTTAAATCATAAACATTGATTAAAATACCATAAAATCTGACTGTCATAATTATGCATTTCAGTAGTAATTTCCTGTTGTTTTTCCTAAGATTATTTGTTAATAAGAAGATTATTTGACATTACTGTCATGGTCTCCAAAGGCTAAACTAAAGATGCCCGTGAATCTAGAGTATTATTTCACCTGTCTGTAAAATTTTGACTGTCTGTAAAATGGGAAAAGTATCTTGCACATCCCTCATTCGGGTATTACAATGCTAAACTGGAATAGTTCTGTATCCTGTACTCAAGGAGTTTATTATTATTACTACTATTCTTTACAGTGCCATTTTCTCCAGTGTTTCTCAAAATATTTAATATATATATTCTTGATTTGTTATTAAAAAGTATCCATTAATGGACTAGCATACAGGTGCTATTTAACAGTAAGCAACTATGGAATAATAAAAACCTTGGGAAATAAATCACCTGGGTTTTTATATTGTAGACAAGTCCAAAACATGGATTATAAATATCCATTTTATAAGCTTCCATATTTAATCCATGGTGTCTTGAAGACAAGGAATATGAAGTGACATTTGCTGTGATGCTTATACTTTGATCTGTCAATGAGTTACCCGAAGACCAAAAGAAATGGCTTGTTCCACATACTTCTGAACTAGAGGTAGCCTTTGCAGACTGGAAAATTACTAAATGCAGAACAAACAAATCAACTGCTGATAAAGAAATATATAAATGGATGTAAAAAACTATAAAGAAATTACTTTTGCTGCAAAGAAAACTTTATTTAACTGCAGACTTATCAAGGTCAAAGTAAACCAAGCTGGTGTAAAAAGAAAGGCTCTGTGATTCAGAAATCAAAACAAAACAAAATGTTTGAATGGAACCATCACAGATATCCCAAAGATCTCTTTCATGTGTCCAAAGAATGATTTAAAGGAGTAAAAAACCTTAAATTTTTCTGTCTACAGCTTTTTGTTTTTTGTTGTTCATTTTGTACTTTTTTTTTTTTAACTTTGAATATCTTATTTTTCTTTCTGCAGTTTTATTTTAGACTTCTTCATGGAGCCTGGTGGCATGCTTATTGGACAGTTTGAGTCTTAGTCTGTAGACTGGATCACTTAAAAAAACCAGTAAAGCTGTAGAGGAAAGCGGGTGGAGGAAAAAGGAGAGTCAGCAGTGTACCTGGAGGGTTAGGGCAGCTGACAGATATGAACCCATTCTCCTGGGGATTGAATAGGAAATGAAAAAAAATCTCCAGGGAAAGATGTTTAGTATGACAATCCCATATGCTCCAGCTAAGGAAGGTGTTGCAAGGGCTGTGACTTGAACATCTTCAGATTTCCACTGAACTAGACATGGTTTGAATTCGGTTCACAATAAATTGTTTCTAACTGAAGAACACAATGAATCTGGTTTGAATCTTGTCTAAGTCTGGTTCTTACAGACTACAATATGCTGTTGCTGTAAATACCAGGCCTAGTTTTAACTTTGGTGACATGAATATGAATCAAATCTGTGTTTTATGCTGTTTCATTTTTCACAAGTTTCTGTCTGTATTTCTCTATTACCTGTTTTGGTAGACAAACAAGGAGATGTATCGATTTGTTTTAAAGAGGGAAAAATACACATCAGTTTTCTGAAATCTAAATTCTAAACTATACATATATCAGCAGAACTAATTTTGGAAATAGACAAAATACAGCCTGTACTCACAGTACTGAAATAATCAATATTAAAGGAAATAGTAAGACCTCAGACCAAATCTTCGTTGCAATGAGAAAACTGATGGCTAACTCCTTCATGCTCACCTGGCCAGAAACCGCATTTTCACAAACAAATGTTTCATAATATTTAGGGAATTCTGGTGCATGATCATTAACATCAAGAACTTGGATATACACATTTGCTTCTGAAATTTTTTCAGGATTTCCTAATGGTTAAAAAAAGACAGAAATCAAAAGTTATAAATAATATACTATATATTTTAAAGTAATGTAGACGTTAGAAAACTTTATGTATATTATGCAGAGAAGAAAATAGTCACTGAGACCTACGGACACATTTACACTAAAACTTTTTAATGAGTTCAAATATATCCTATACATCTAAAGAGGGCATTCTCTTTCTTTGCTGGCGTTCTATTTACAAAAGGTGGTGGGGTTTTGATTTTGTTTTTTTCACCAATCTGTGAAGATAAATTATAATAGTTTATCTTGAAATATGTAAGGATATGTCATGTGAAATTTTGGATTTGTTCACTCTTTCATTTACCAAGTCAGAAACTGATTTAAAAACTGAAATATGATTTGGAGAAATTAAATGAGGTTTTGCTCATGCAGAACAATTTACTGTACTAGTGATATGTAAGGGTATGTAGAAGGAGAGTGTCTGTTCCTCTAAGGGTATCTGGTCAAGTACCTTATTCAATGCAACAAGATTTAATAAGAATAAAAGGAAGCCGTAAACAAGTACATACATGGACACAAACCTGAGAGACAAAGGATAAGGGAGGGGGTGATGAGAACCAAACCTGGTCAGACATACTAATTACTGGAGGTACACAAGAGTGTGAGAATGTTTATTCCTATGAGGTTATCAGAGTGGGGACCTTGTCAATTGAGAAACTGAGGGACAAAACAGAAAGAAAACATACCAAGACACAGACCTGGCAAAGCAAACATGGAGACAATTACAAGAAACAAACCTCATGATAACTGACAGGTAATCCAGAATCCACAGGGTAACAATTCCAAGTAGATGAACCTGGGCTTTGCAACTGATAAGACTGTAAACCAGAGGGATCTCAGATCCAGAAGGGTGTGGGAAATGATGTAGCTGTACAGACCCACGGGGGATGTGGAGAGAGGAACAAAGAGGGAGCAGACAAAGGGGTATAAAAGATGCTGATCACATGTAAAATGGCGCTGGTCAGTACACTTCTCTGGTGGAGCACTGAACCTGATCACCCGTCAGTCCTATAATCTTCTATCTTCTTATTAAATTTTTTCTTAGCTATCACTCTGCGTAATTTCACTCTCTATCGTTGCATGTGTATGTTTACTGCTACTGGTGAGACCTGCATATGTGTGAGTGAAAACTGGTGTCAGTTACTGGAGTCAGACAGGGGTGTGGGTGGCCCTGGCCCATGGTGTTAGCTGCTGGAGTGAATGGGGGCTGCAGGGGACAAGTGTCCGTATCTTCCCTAAACTGGGTGTGCCCAGGGTGCGCGTGTGTTTTCACTAGCAAACTTTAAGCTGGACTCAACAGTGAGTAGGGGGTCCTTGAGTACAGGCCAGGTGCTCAGGGGGGTCCATGCTGGTATGCTCAAGGGGCACTTGTGAATGTGGGGTGCATGAGGGATGGGTGTGTGGGTGGTGTACGTTTGCCAGCAAGCATTGGGATGGACCAGCTGGTAAGTTGAGGACCCATGAAGAGGAGGAGCTGGCAGCTGGGCTGACAGAGGGTCCATGCAGCTGCTGAAGGGATCCATGAGTGTGTGTGTTCTTGTGAACCTGGAGAGTGGTGTGTGTGTGTGTCTATGTGTGTGTGCCTGCATCAGTGACCTTCTGCCTCTGCCAGCAGAAGAGGAGGAGGGGACTCAGTTGTCTGTCCTTAAGGTTTATGAGACCCCCATATGCAGGTGCTGCTGAAGGCAGCGCCTTGTCTGTGGCAGCCTGTGTGACTGGCTTGTGTCAGTGTCCTCTGTGTGTGTGTCTCTGGGATCTGCGCTCAGCTTTGCAAACAGGAAAGCATCAGTTGTGCCTTGAGCCTGGGCAAAGGCCTTGGGTCCCCATGCATTGGGCTGGGCTCCAGCAGCCACGCAGTAGGATCCTGGGTTTGAGCAAGGGGGCAGATGCGCTTTCTTATATCACTTAACATACCACTATGATATATTAATATCATCTATCATATCACAATACTTTATCATATCACAATACTTTAAGAAATTCTGTCACTCCTGCTTTCCTCTAGTATTTTGAAATTTTTAAGCTTTGGGAGAAAATTTCACCAAATTTCATGTAGTTTAAAAATATTTCTGCCACTGCTAGACATAGAGTAATTGGAGCGAACACTGATACCCAACCCTAGCCAAGGCAGAAAGTTGAGACTTTAAACTTGGAACAACAGATCTGTTCTATCCACTGGTCTCCAAACACATATTTGCAAAGAAGTTTGATTTTGCCCAGGCCCGTCTAAGGCATTACTGCTGACAGACTTCATAGACTGAGCTTATAGTTTTGTTCCAAGTATTTTTTGCCCAACAGGTTTAATTCTTAGGCATTTTGTCTCACAGAAGCTGTACTGCTTCTGTTATACAAGAATGCTTTATCACTGCAGCTTTAGATATAAAAGCTATGTCAGTATGGCTTATTCCCCTGTGAAAAGGAAAATAAACTCAGCTAATATAAGGCACGTTTTTCCTGCATTTATTGCATTTACACAAGGTAATATTTCTATAATTACCTCAGACAAGGAAAACCCAGAGCTAACTATAGGAGTTTCATGGTGCAAAAGTTGTGTATTGACTAGGATGAAAAAACTATTTTATGTAATGAAAATGTTTATAAATATGTTACCTGAAACCAAGGGAAGGAAGACCTGCAGGTACAGCGTTCTCCTAGAGAAACTGGCTGCTCATGATTTGGATGGATGTACTTTTCGCTGTGTAAAAAGCTGGCTGGGTAGCCAGACCCAAAGAGTTGTGGTCAGACCTACCCAGGTCTCAGTATAGGGACCAGTTCTGTTCAATATCTTTATCAATGATCTGGATGAGGGGATTGAGTGCTACCTCAGTACGTTTGCAGACGACACAAAGCTGGCTGGGAGTGTTTATCTGCTGGAGGGTAGGAGGGCTCTGCAGAGGGATCTGGACAGGCTGGATCGATGGGCCGAGGTCAATTGTATGAGGTTGAACAAGACCAAGTGCCAGGTCCTACACTTGGGTCACAACAACCCCATGCAATGCTACAGGCTTGGGGAAGAGTGGCTGTAAAACTGTCTGGCAGAAAAGGACCTGGGAGTGCTGGTTGACAGCCGGCTGAACATGAGCCAGCAGTGTGCCCAGGTGGCCAAGAAGGCAAACAGCGTCCTGGCCTGTATCAGAACTAGTGTGGCCAGCAGGAGTAGGGAAGTGATTGTGCCCCTGTACTTGGCACTGGTGGGGCCGCACCTTGAATCCTGTGTTCAGTTTTGGGCCCCTCACTACAGAAAAGACACTGAGGTGCTGGAGTGTGTCCAGAGAAGAGCAACAAAGCTGGTGGGGGGTCTAGAACATAGTCTTATGAGGAGCAGCTGAGGGAACTGGGTTTGTTTAGTCTGGGGAAGAGAAGGTTGAGGAGAGACTTTATTGTACCTGAAAGGGGGTTATGGCAAGGTGGGTGTTGGTCTCTTCTCCCAAGTAACTAGCAATAGAATGAGAGAAAATGGCCTCAAGTTGCACCAGGGGAGGTTTAGATTAGATATTAGGAAAAATTTCTTCACTGAAAGGGTTGTCAAGCACTGGAACAGGGTGGTGGGGTCACCATCCCTGGAGATATTTAAAAGACATGTAGATGTAGTGTTTAGTGACATGGTTTAGTGGTGGACTTGGCAGTGTTAGGTTAATGGTTGGACTTGATGATCTTAAAGGTCTTTTAAAACCTAAATGATTCTAGGATTCCATGTTTCTATGATTCTATACTGAATACCTCTCGAAATTCCTTGCCTATCAGCACATTGAATTCTCACTTACATGGCATAGCTTTGAAAAATGTCTGCCTTCCCCACAATGTAATTTATTACTCTCATAGGAAAGAAGTTTCACTGCAACAGTAATGTTCACATTAACTTGGACATATTGTTGGGTAAGGACCATAATGAACACATTTTTCCAGTGAAAAGAAATAATCTTAAGAGATTCCAGGAATACTACTAATACAACCTAAAAGTCTATCAATATCTCAATCTGCTCTGTCTAAGCTAGAAGGATGTCACTCACAGGAATATTCATTATAGTTATATGCCTCATGGTGGGTGCTACTGTTACTGTTTCTGACCTGTTCAGAAGTCCTTAAGGCATTTACTTAAATTAGTCAACTGGACCTTTAAGAGAAAACCAAAATGTACTCCTTTCTGACTCACCTCAAACTGTTTGCTTGGTTCTTACATTGCTTTTTTAATATATAATTCACAACTTGCTTGGAGCAAACATTTGTTTTCTTGGATCTTATGGAATCTGTGCTGATAGCTTTGAGTCTTTTGCCAAAGGAAATGGCAGCAAAAGCAACTACCACAGAGATAAAGGGCTAGATACTCAGCAGTTTCATATTGCTGTTCGTTCTGTGAAATCATTAGAGCTGTGCTAATTTACCAAAGGTTATGATCTGTCAGAATCATCTCAGAAATACTTCTTTGTGGGATGACATTTCTCTTGTTGAATCCCAACATCCATACAATAAAACAATAATACAATAATACAAACAGTGCCCAGCTTATTTTTTAAATAAATATAAAAATTAGCAAATATCCCTTTTAGAAATAATACTGAGAACGTAGGACTTACTTAGTCTCTTTAACTTAAGTTGGAATTGGAGGTGTAAAACAGAGATTTAACTGGATTGGTATTGAAAGGAAAACTTTGTAGCACTTATTAGGAGCCAGGGAACACCTTTGGTGACTTCAGTCATATACAAAGCAGCATGGGAAGGACCTATCTACCTTGGCCTATTCCTAACTTGCTTGTTCAAAAGATTCATGGATACTCTATCGGCTTTAAAGCCTATCCTTTGCTTGTACAACCATTTTGATAGCTCTTTTTAGCCTAGAGCTGCCATTCATATCTGTTTTCTCTCACCAAATACCCCTTTGTTATTTATTTTTGGTAGCAGTCTTATTTCTACTTCCATACTGTATGTGGGTTGTTGTGTTGTGATTGTTTTGGGTTTTTTTACCTCAGCATATGGTTGAATGACAAGGAATAGCATTTCTCACATAGCTGTTGGAAAGTAGAAGTATGGAAATTTTAAATTTTTCTGAGATCACAGGTGTTTTGTTTTGGGAGGTAGTAACATGTTACAAAGCCACTCTTGGAACCAGCATCTGGTAAATATTTAATGAAGATTTTGGGTGAAGCAGTGTGACTCTTTTGTTTGTAATTGGGGAAGATGGTAAGCAACACTTATTTTGTCTTTTATCCCTTACATGGGGCAATAGTTGGCAGAATTTGAATACAGCTATTATACTCATATCCCACGTTAAGTAAAAAATCTTTCAATAAACAGAAAATTTGTCATAATCTCCATGAGAGAGATCAGAACTTGAAAAACAAGGTCTGAAAGAACAGGATACCAAGTGCAATAGGCTGGATCAGTGTGACGAATGAAGTTGGTGTATTACTTACTAAAGATCAAAGTTGGTAACTTGCTAATTTTGGAGCTGTGTGAAAAGAAAAGCCGTGACCATGTCTAGAGACAAAATAGAACTCAATACTTGCAGGGGATTAAAGAAAGCTTGGCATTGTCATCAGCCAATGAAAGGAAAGTTGCAGTAATAATAATAATAACAGTAATAACAGTAATAACAATAACAACAGCAATAATAATAGTTGTTATAATTTAAGCTAAAGGAATCTTCCATAATTCCTAAAGAAAATGGACAAGAATTCTTTTTTTTTAAAGGACTAAACTAAAAATTTAGAAGTCTGTCAAGAAAAGTATATATGACCAAAGTGGGGTGACAATTGAATATTGAATTAATATGATCCATGACTGAAACCTTCAACGACATGTAAGTTCTGTAGTCATGCAGTAGGTCTGGAACCACTATGGAAGGACATCTGCAAGACCCAGATGGAACATGTCTGTTGTATCTTGTGGGTAAGTTTGCTTATGACTGGTACTGCACTCATCCAATGGACGTATAGAGAAATGAGGATCAAAGTAAGCTCAAGCTAGTTGCCATCTTTGGGAATTTTTGTTGGTCATCTACAGTTCAACAGAGAGAAAGCTGAGGCAGATGTTCCTCTTTTAAATTAATTAATTGTCAGTCAATCATCATCTGACTCAGTAAATCAGTGTTAAGTAAAGCTGATGACTTGCTCTCATGCATAAGTAGAATGCTGCTGTTCATGCTTCAGCCTTGTACTAGATGGAAGCTGATTACAACTAAGTAAATACTGATCAAAGGAAACGATTTCTCTTGAGCAAGAACCGTATTAGACATAAAGTAGAATAAGACTCAACAGATAGCAGGTTCCAACTGCTCGCATTTAAGGTCCAATGAATTAGATCTACTTCTGGGTACCTTTAAGATGTGCTATCTCGATGGAGTGAAGATAGGATGATCCACACGACAAGTCTGCAATAACAAAGGCAAGATCCTCTTACTAAGCTTTGATCCCTGTCATTGCAATGGGGGCAAAAAGCTTGTGTCCTGTATGAATGCCAGGACACCAGCAGGCCCCTAGGGAGGTTGCTCTTGTAATGCAGTTTCAGTCTTAATGGAATTTTGTTTTGGCTTCAGTGGAGCCGAGCCACAATGTCATCCACCAATGTATCATACACACAATGTATGTTATGACTACATTTCAGGGAATAAAATATTACTAGTCCGTAATACAACTCATTTCAGGTATGCCCAGACCCAGGTGACCTAACTTCAATGCTTTTGAATATGGTGTTATAGACAGTGACCTTATCATCATTAAAGAAATAAAGAATAGGAAGATGAAGATAATGAGGGCTCGGTTTCTCTACAATAACTTTCATTACTGTGAAAGACTCGGTTTCTTTTGCTGCAGGGGACACCTATTCATTTGTAACATTTGGTTCTTTCCTGTGTTATTGTTTAACTAAACAGAAAAGTCCAGACCAAAGTCATCCTGCTGTGTTTCCATAGGGCTATTCAAGACATGACAAAAATATGCCAGAGAGGAATTTTACCAACACCTGCCAGCTGCCCAACAACATGAGAAGTAAAATACATTCATGCTTAAACTTCACTGAGAAGATGAAAAGGAAGATAATACTACCAATTCCCAAACACAAATTAAAGACTTCAATGAAAATGGTTACTGACTATATTATATTAAACCTCTAGCAGTAATATTCTACATATATACATGGAATGCTCCCTTTTGGGAACAGTGTAATTTATGAATACATGATTAAAGTAGTCTTAGCAATAAATAGCATTTAATTGAGACTCAGGATTGAAAAAACATGCTAAAAATATTTGGCAAAATCTGATTTATTGATTAGATTCTAGTTTCTCATGGTTTTTCTCCTTCCTGAGGATGGATGCGATTAGTTTTTAAATAATATCCCAATAATTTTGTTAAACTGCCTTATAAATTGGTGGCTATTAATTTTCTAGAGTCTCATCCCAGAGTTAGGGCAATCAGATCACCAAAAACACAAACTGAGGCAATTTGCATTTGACTTTCAAGCAAAAGTGACAGGTGAAATCTATATAAAACATTGAATCATAGAATGCTTCACAGATTTAATTGTCACTGAAGTCTAGCTGATTTAGGCCTTACACTCACAATTAATTTGAGCCACAGGTTTCTGACCAGTGTTAAATTAGACCCTAGCTAATTTCACACTAGTCAAATATTTGGTGTGAAATTAACCGGAGTCTAATTTAACATAAGATCTTACACTGCAGGAGCAATTCATATGCTTCAGTGTAACTTGAAAGCATTGCAGTCTTGATCTTATTACAATTTCCTTTCTTTTTTTATAAGGTCATCTTTTATGAAAGAGCACAAGATCTTCGAGCTCAAATACATTCCACTTCTATTTAACTAATCATTTTAATAATGCTCCTTAATGTAGCAAACAACAGTAATATAATGAGAAAGAAGCATGTATTCTCCACTTAAAAGAAGGCATATTCAGAGGATAATTACAGCTCACAGTATATAAAACACAGCATTCCTTAAATTTCTTACTCACTTGTTTCTGTGGCTGTAACAGTTATGTTGTGCCAAGAAGCTATCTCTCGGTCCAGAGGTTTAGTAGTAATGATTGTTCCATTGTGTTCATTGATGCTGAACAATCTCTTTAAATGCATGCTGTGGACAATAGAGTACCTGCACCAAAAAAAAGTAGAGAGATCCCCTAATACTGAAATGTTCCATCAAAAGCAAGGACATAGAAAGCCATTGTCAGTTGAGAAAGCAGAGCTATGCATATATACATACAAATGTGTGCTGCAACAAATCAGAAATCATGAAAAATGTACACTTATAAGCATTTAAAATTCACTGGTGCCAAGATCAAAGCTCTTCTTTTTATAAAACTAAATAATTATCAGATCTATATTAATGTGAGCTGAATCTGAAGTGTGTTATTCATTCTTACTTCTAAGTCAGACTCACAGCAGGTGAAACGTCATTGAAAAGAAACAGCAAAAGTGCCACTTATGAAATGAGTAACACTAACAGCTAAGTGGAAGTATAATGGCAAATCTATTTTATAATTTCTAACATGCTCTGATGCCAAGGGAACAGGCATTATAAAGACAGATGCATAACTATCTGTAATGAGGTAACACCTAGGCTGGTGTCGTGGTTTAGCCCCAGCCGGCAACTAAGCACCACGCAGCCGCTCGCTCACTCCCCCTCCCGCAGTGGTTTTTTTCATCCCAAATCCAAAACACAGTCCCGCACCAGCCTCTGCGAAGAAAACCAGCTCCATCCTGGCTGAAACCAGGACAGCTGGGTACAAAATCCTAATGCAGGAGATAATTGCAAATGAGTCCAGTGTTCCTGAATCTTCACTGAAAAGGCTCTGGATGTTATGTCCATATGTGGACATGCACATGCGCACGTTCATACATACATACCATTCAAATTGTTAAAGTCTAACCCCTGGTCACAAGCCAGAAGTGTACTGGAAAAGACACCAAAAGTATTGGTTCATATGAAAGGGTATTTACTAATATTTTTCATGACATATTAAAAAAAGATTGTATGTCACAGTTCCTAGTAAAGTCTATTTCATGGAAGTAAAAACTGTTTGAACAGTTGAAAGGTTCTTATCACTCCAGTTTGGAATTCCTACATGCAGCTATTCTCTCTTTTATTGTACCTTTAATTGTGCTTGACAAAATCTTTCCATCTCCTGTTGTCATTTATAGTTACATTTTGTCTGTTTTGAAAATCAACGGTAAATCAAGGAACGAGCACAACATAGTCAGTGAAAATTCTTATAATTTGAGCCAAAGATTTGACATTTATAAGCCCCTATTTTAACAATTTACAATTCAATTTCTTCTTCCTTTTTTTTTTTTTTTTGGTGAGTGTTCCTCATCCTCTGTATCCAAAGCTTGTTTAGCGTTTTCTGACATTGGTGTTTTGTTTTGGGTTTTTTTGGTAATCTAATTCTTGATAGATAATTTTCAGAAAATCTATTTTGGATATTTTTAGTTATTTTTAACTAATAACATAGTGAGGTTTTGTTGCTTTTTTAAAAATTATTTTTCTTATTTGAAAACTGTGATCCACAAAGCAGCACAGCTGGTTTTCTATATTATAAGCAACTGCTGTCATTTATGATAGCAAAGATTTCAAAATTATAATAACATGCATGACAGACTAATAAACATATCTTTACATTAGAAGTGACATATTCTATTTTTAAAAAAATCGGTGATGCAATATACACAATTACACAGCATAAATTATTTTGCGTCTCATCCATTTGTCCTCGTATCCTAGCTTGTCTAAGTTGCACAGTACACAGTGACATTAAGTAACTCAAGAATCTATTTTAATTATAAACCCCATGTTAAAGATTAATTACCTGTTTCCTCCCTTAAGGGACAGCAAAATTATTTTGCAAAATTGAAAATCTGGGACACTCTTTTTATGTAATATTTCTGTGGGTCATTTGTGGTAGATGTATGGAATTGGTAAATTTTTGGTCATGCTGAGCTGAACAGATGCCAGTGGAGCTGTTCTGTGTCTCCCTTGCAGCAATGAGTCCATCTCTCCATATCTCCGGAAGTTTTTTGGAACAGACTGGAACATCTCCAGGCACTTACAGTTTGGCTGTGGTACCCTAGCTCTGCTGCTATGCACAGCCTTTTCCAGGCCATTTTTTTAAATATTACCCCATCTCAAAGTGATTGCAAAGATGCACAAAGAAAGCTCATTTATTTAGATTTTGGGCTAGGGGTCGGGATTTAACCTACTGTACTGGTTTTGCCTGGGATAGAGTTAATTTTTTTCAGAGTAGCTTGGATGAGGTTGTTTTGGATTTGGGATGAAAACAGTGTTGATCAGAAGGATGTTTTCATTAATTGGTAACAGAGGGATGTTTCCATCACCGTTATGTGTGATGGAGCACTGCTTCCCTGGCAATGGCTGAACACCTCACTGCAATAAGAAGTGGTGAATGAATTCCTTGCTTTGCTTTGCTTGCATGCACAGCTTTACCTTTACCTGTTAAACTGTCTTTAGTTCAACACATGATTTTTCCCACTTTTACTTTTCTGATTTTCGCAGTCATCCCAATGGGTGGGGGAGTGAGTGAGCAGCCCTGTGGTCCTTAGCTGCCTACCTGGGTTAAACCACAACACCTAGAATCACCTAGGCTATCAATGAAAGCATGATTAACTGTAATCATGAGCCAAGGTAATGAACAGAAATAGCCTTTGGAAATCCCAACTACATTTATACTTGAGGTCTGTTCACATTTTAAATTAGGTACCTGACTGGGCAGTCATCATTGTCTGGATCTGTAGCAGTTACAACGCCCACCAGGGAGCCACTGACAGCCCCTTCAGCAATCTCCATCACATAGTTCTCCAAGGTGAAAACTGGAGGTTCATCAGCATCTTCCACATTGATTTTGACAATGGTTTTGTCTTCAAATGGTCCTTCTTTCAGAAATCGGTCATCAGTGTACCTGTTTACAACTTTTGCTTGAATACTGTATCTCCTCTTGCTCTCATAATCCACTCTCTATTAAGATAGAAAGTGAGATGTAGACTATTTTTTAACATTTGAATTAAATACAGTTCAGTAAGTGGTGTGAGAGTAAAGAAAAAATAATTCTACCCTTCTTCTGGGAATGTTTCAAAAATAGTTACTTATAAGATTTCTTTTCTATGTTAAAAACATTTTAAAATTAAACCGTGCCATGCCATTGTTTGCTTTCACATGTAGGCTGGCTTTAATGTTACAGTTAAACAACACTAAGTCTCTTCCGGTAGAATGTCAGTCCTAAGAAAAACAACTCCTTGTATTGGTAACTCTATTTCCAACATAGGTATAACCTTAGTGAACACTACTCTTTACACTTACATAAAAAATGTGAATCAGTTAATCTGTAGGGGTTAAGGTGGGTATGTTTAAATTTTTTCTCTAAAGGAAATGAATTCCAGAAGACAACAATGAATACTTAATAAACACAGTTATATAACTATTTTAGATAGTCATTATCTTCTGCAATTAAAAAGAGAAATATTAAATAAAGACCTTCCTGAATTGTAATAAATCCAAATTGAAAAAAAAACAACACAAATTTATAGCATTCAGTTCTTCAGGCTCCTGGATTTCGCTAGACTACTAAACTCTATCATCACCTCAGATGATGACCCAGGTGACCCAGAAATCTTCCTATGTGATTTCAAAATACATCACACAGTATCAAAGCCTCTTAAATATCTTAATTCATAAGCTGGTATCTTTTTGAGTGTATTTAGTGTCTCTTCAAAGCTATGTTATAACAAAAACTCCACTGTCTTGCTTCAGTTAAGTTTAACAGGAGGTGTTGGAAGTGAGGAAATATTGTGTATAATTTATTGATAAAGTTTTTACAGATGATGCACAGAAGAGAGAGAACATTTTCTCACAATGGGATACACTGTGTTGCACAGATAGGAATAACATTGAGATACTTTGACTGTCACTGCCACTATTTTATTCAGCAGTAATGAGTCAAAAAAAGTAAACAGTAAGAAAAGCATGTTTCTTTTTATCCCCCTAATATCCCAATCAAATCACAAAGCCTGAAGAAAGCAAAATTAGTAGAATCCAAAGCAAAAGTTGTTTTTTAAACATCCAGCTTGCTTAAGGAGGTTCTTTCCAGTATTTAGAGATTTTTTAGAAGGTTTATGAGATCTCACCTTTTTTAATAAGATAATTCCTTCTTGAGTCTCATTGTTAGTAATGATGTCAAAAACATCTGAGCTATCTCCTTCAATGAAATAGTTCATGGCTGCATTCTCCCCTATGTCGCTGTCTTCTGCGAAGACTTTGCCTACAATAGTGCCCACAGGAGCCTCTTCAGAGATGCTCATATAGTAGAGTCCTAAAGAAACAAATGCTGTCACAGTTTAGTGATCTGCCATGGTTAATAGCTGCTGTAGCTATGATGGCCTGAGGCTCTTGGAAAGTTAGGGAAAAGCCCCCAGCTTTTATTAGACCAATGGGTCTGATCCAGCAATAGATAAATCTTGGGGGCAAGGGATGACAATCTTTCCACTCCTGAGTCCTCCTCTCTCAGCCTCATGTGCTGGTTTCAGGACTAAGAGAATGGTATCTGTGTGTATATATTAAAAGAGAGGAAGAGTAATGATGAATAATTGGAATGTCTTGAAAAGTATAGGACCTGGGCATGATGTAAATGGCATGGAATAAAAGGTGGATACTGCCCTGGTTTCAGCTGGGGTGGAGTTAATTCTCTTCACAGAAGCTGGTGTGAGGCTGTGTTTTGGATTTGGGATGAGAAAATTTTGATAACATGCTGATGTTTTCAGCTGTTGCTAAGCAGTCAAAGAGTGTCCGTCTTTTCATGCTGGCCTGCCAGCGAGCAGGCTGGGGGTGCACGGGTGCTGGGAGGGGACACAGCCAGGACAGCTGACCCAGGCTGGCCAAAGGGGATATTCCGTACCATATGGCGTCATGCTCTCTATATAAGGTTGGGACGAAGAAGAAGGAGAGGAAGAGGGGACATTTGGAGTGACGGCGTCTGTCTTCCCAAGAAACCATTATGCGTGATGGAGCCCAGTTTCCCTGGAGATGGCTGAACCCCTGCCTGGCCATTAATGATGAATAATTGGAATGTCTTGAAAAGTATAGGACCTGGGCATGATGTAAATGGCATGGAATAAAAGGTGGATACTGCCCTGGTTTCAGCTGGGGTGGAGTTAATTCTCTTCACAGAAGCTGGTGTGAGGCTGTGTTTTGGATTTGGGATGAGAAAATTTTGATAACATGCTGATGTTTTCAGCTGTTGCTAAGCAGTCAAAGAGTGTCCGTCTTTTCATGCTGGCCTGCCAGCGAGCAGGCTGGGGGTGCACGGGTGCTGGGAGGGGACACAGCCAGGACAGCTGACCCAGGCTGGCCAAAGGGGATATTCCGTACCATATGGCGTCATGCTCTCTATATAAGGTTGGGACGAAGAAGAAGGAGAGGAAGAGGGGACATTTGGAGTGACGGCGTCTGTCTTCCCAAGAAACCATTATGCGTGATGGAGCCCAGTTTCCCTGGAGATGGCTGAACCCCTGCCTGGCCATGGGAAGCAGTGAATGAATTCCTTGTTTTGTTATGCTTGCGTGCATGGCTTTTCTTTACCTATTAAACATTCTTAATCTCAAACCATGAGTTTCCTGACTTTTACTCTTCCAGTTATCTCCCCCATCCCACCGTGGGGGAGTGAGCGAGTGGCTGCGTGGTGCTTAGTTGCTGGCTGGGGTTAAAACACGGCACCTCACTTTAGCAGTAAATAAAGAGCTAAGGAGAACCAATAGGGTGAAAAAACAGGTGGGCAGCACTTCGCAACTGCATTTCACTAGTTCTTTGTGACAGCCCAGCTAGCAGTTCCCATGTTTGCTAGAAACTCTCTGGAGAGAGGAGGTCATATCATTTGCCAAAAAGTTTACAGTATCTGTCAGCAAAGAATGAAGAGAGGAGAGAAAAAAAGAAAGTGAGTGAAAATGGTACTAAATATCCTGTTGCCCAAATTTTAAGCTTAGGTAGAGCGAACTATAAAGCCGTTCAGTATGTCATTTGTCTCCAAAGCCTAGCAATAAAAACAGCAGGCCTGAGGTCTTCTGTAGTGATAGGTTTTCTTTTCCTCTTTGCTTTTGAACTTTTGTGTGGGATTTCTTTAAATTTTGTTTTTATTTAAATCTGTATGCTGAAGTCAAAGCACAGACCTGTTCTGAAAAGATCTACCAATGAACTTAACAGTGCTCCTGTAGATCTAAATTTCCTCACGATTTCAACTCCTGTATGTAACCTATACTTACGCTGTTGAAATTTGGGTGGATTGTCATTGATGTCAGAGAGGTTGATGGTAACAGTGGCTGTTGCTGAAAATGCCCCTGCTTGCCCAACCATATCTTTGGCTTGGATGATGACTAAATACTGATCTTTTGTTTCTCTATCCATTTGGGAAGCCATTCTGATGACCCCTGAAAATGAAGAGTCTAATATAATAGCATGTAATATATGATTGTCCCATTTTTTTCCCAACATCTGACTGTATAATATGCATCACTGGATACAGTTATGAATTTACATTCTAGACTGTACAGCACAACGGTCCTAATACTGGGAATTAGTACTCATGGCAACATCTATGCTGTATGACATGAATTCTGCATACTTAGAGTTCTGGGAAGCAGAACACACCATATATCTCGTCTACCATATATACCCATCTTTCTTCCCCATAAATCAGGATTTTGGACGGATTTCATATATTTGTGGTTTCTCCAACGTAGATAAAGGAATGTCAGATAATGAGTCATAGAGCTATTAACCCTGAAGTATTCCTAGGTCCATTTGTTGGATGGGATATTCAGAATCCAACTCTTTTGTTTAGCAAGATAATTTGCTAAATAAATTTTGAATTCTCCAGAGAAAAAGAATTTCACCTTCTTATGAGAAATAAATAATTTATTTTTTTTAGATCTAGGAACTATGCAAAGATATACAAGTGTTGGGTGGTATCAGCTGATCATTGTGTTGAAATGAAGAATGACGTTTTTGCTTGCATCCAGTTTATGTTAGTTTATGAATGTTTTCAAGTTACAAGATCATTTGTAGTACCTGTCTTTGGCTCCACAGAGAAATAAGGCTGTCCCTGAATGAGACTGTAAAGCAGACGGGCACTATTCCCATAAGAAGGATCATCACCATCTGTAGCTGTTACCTGTGTAACCGAAGTACCTCAAGGAAAAAATAAAAGATTATGTTTACTTTCTTCTTGTATAAATTATCTCATAATTACAAAACATAAACTCCATAAAAAGCATTTAACATACCAGTTATATTAGCAAACAGTCCTGAAAATTTACAGGAGAAAATGGCACCTTCTAAAATTTATCATTAAAAAGGGAAGATATTTCCTCAGCAACTATTCTTGTTGCATTCAGATTTTCAATTAAAATAAAAATAACGTATGACTTTTCAACACTATATTTATGTTGCTTAAAATGCTATATATCTTATATATTTTTCCCTAATTTCTGATATGTGAATGGAATACAGCAAATTGTTTCTCCTCCCCCTGTATATTCTTCAAAGTATTTTATGGAAGCTTCCCATGGGAATAAGAAAACACAGCCACTTTATCACCTTTAAGCCCGCTGGTGATAAAGAAATTAATTGTTAGCTAGTATAGCAGCCAATAAGTGTAACAAGGTTCTGATAACATTTTTTATCCTTGAGTCTTTAATGAGCCTGTTCCAGTGCAAGAGTGATGGCAGAATCCCCAGTGCAAAAACACTGCAGAATCAATCTGCAGAGCTTGATTTCATCTCTGGCTGGAAGCTGGTTATATCCTAGATACAAGGTTGACAGAAATCTCATGGCACCATCAGTGATGACTGTCCTTTAAAAGAAAATATTCACAGTAACATAATTTTGTAAAGTAACGATTATTTTTGTGGTTTTTCCTCACACAGGTTCTTCATAAGCATACAAATATCACTTCTCATGAGGAACAGCTAGAAATCAAGCTACTTTCTAAACCTTTCTGGCATACACTCACATGGTTACACCTGTTTACTAATATAGCTATATAGTTATGCTGGAGGAGAAAAAAGAAGAAATGACGGAGTGCAATAGGTTAGACTAGAAACATCTTTTTTATGACAAAGTCAAAGTTGATACTTATTCCCAATAAAAGAAATATATTAATTTCTGAGTTTTCTAGCAGTTCAATAGTTTTATTTTTAAACACAAATGAAGAAGGCTTTCTTAGATAAATATATGCTGAATGAAATATTTTAATTATTTAAAGAAAAATTTTTGCATTTTCTCTCATTTTATTCAGCAGAACTGGAAGTGATTCTGTAATGCATGTTATCTTTTCTCAGAGTGGAGGTACACTAAAATGTTATTAACTGCCACCAACTTTTGGGAATTATATGTCCTTCAAAACATACCTACAATACCAAACTTCTGACATTTAGGTATGTATTATGTGTGGATATAGATGTATACATATATATACATACTGCTCCTTATTGCTCCGGAGAAATGCTAAAATAAAATGGTAGATTAATATCTAATCGAGGCACATATATACTTCAGTATTCTTTAATAAGACTGAAGGATAAAGGAAATCTTCAGCTACACAACTGTTAACTTCACATCAACTGTGGTGACAAACCTGTGCTGGCTAATACAGAAAATTCATCCTCTAAGACAATTTAGCATGACTAGAATGCAGTACTTTTAAAATAAAAATGGAGTGTTAGTTGGGAAGGGATCAAGAACTACGAATATTCCAATAGATACAGACTGCTATAAATGCAATTTTCTACCAAATAAACCCAAGTGCCCACAACTATGTTTAGAAATGGACTTGTTTACAACACCATGTTTAATAAGTCAGGAATAAAATCCAGCATACATTGGACTGCAAAGTTATCATTACAGCTTTTGTGCATCTCACTCATTTAAAGGTAGATTTATTTTCTGCACAGTTTCTAACCATTATTAGAAAGAAATGTTGAATCTAAACCAGCATTTGCTGCTTCTCTGAGCCCCAGCCTACTTTTCTGCTTGCCTGTTGACTCTTCCAGAGTATAGCAGAAGGCAGAAGCACAGAATTTGCCCAGCTGGGCTTAGTGAGATGCAGCTGGTGGATATAACGGGAAGGTGAGCAGGCAAGGGGCATCTGGTAAAGAGTGAGCTGATCTGGGCGGAAGTGACAACAGATCTCCTGCACTCTCAGGAGGAAGACCATTTCTAAACTCAGGTGGCAGAAGACCATGTAAAGAGAGGACTATGGTTTCTCAGATTTTTTTAGGACAAAGATTTAATGATCATTACATGAACCTCTACATTAATTATGGATTATGTAGTAAGCAGAAGGAAAATGTTATCCTGGGTTTAGAATACTTTTTCAATTTTTAATTTTTCAATGCCATAAAGTCTGTATTTCTTTATACATTTAACCTGCAGGAAAAAAACTGAGCTATTTGCTGAATGGAATCACATTGTATTTGAGTGATAGAAATTACAATGTTAATATTATGTACTCAAAAACTCCAAAGAGCCATTTTTTGTAACTCCATAGTTGGGAGAAGAATAATTGATCATATACAAATAATATTTTTTTAAAACAATCAATTAACACAGAACCACTCCCACAAACAAACATAAGATAAAAACCCCAAACCCCACCTCTTGACATTGCAGCCATGACATGATACAATTGACAATTGTACTATGACACATTTTCACAACACATAGGTGAAAATGGGTATCATGCAGGGACAAATTAACTGAATATGGCTGTGGGTTTTCAAACATGTATTTCTGAATATTGGAGTCTGTGTGATGTTGATATAAAGTTTAGCCCCAGGCCTGTGTTTTATGTACACAGTAATGTCTTAAGCTGGATAGTAAACATGTTTACACGTTTTCTGCTTTCTATTAGCTATAGACTATTTAAGGCAAACTACATTTTGCTGATTCCTATGTAAGATTTTTTCTTTGTATTTCTGTGGTCTTGGTTTTACCCTTCTTGGGAAAAACATAGTGCCATTTATATATTACAGCCCGTTAGGTAAGCTATAGGGCCTTCATATGGCACATAGTTATTCATTTTTCTAAGTAGAACTTGAAATCTACAAAAACATTAAGTAGTGATATATTATTGCATCTGACTCAACCATTCCATCAGATATACTGCATTTATACAAGTTTAACAGCTATATGGAAGACACGTAATATAAAATTGTACCAAATGCCCAAGGGAAAAAACACAGTTTTTTGTTCTCAGAAGACAGTCCATTAGCTGACATGTTTTTCATTTATTGTGACACTTGCATATAAAGTCCTAATAAAATTCAGTACTGGAGATAAAAGAGAGCTAAGAAGGAAGTAAAATGTGTTCTAATTTGTTGGCACATTAGTATATATATTGATATTTGTACCTAACTTTAGGCAAAATTATCTGTGCCTGTTTTGTGGTTTTCTGTGGTTCTCTGAGGCAAGTGGCTGGCTGTGAATTATTCTCTCTTTTCTTTCTTTGTTCCAGACAAAATGTTTATTAACAGTAAACTGCTTTCTCAAGTCTTGACCACACTTCCTAAGTGTATTTTCTGTGAGGAAATCACTAGGAGATCCCAGGTCTAGTTGAATTGCTGCTAAAGAGCTCTGAAACAGAGCAAAGGCCAAGTCTCTCTATTGCACTAAACTAATTCTGGTCTACATCCCTTATTACGCAAGAGAATGTTCTATTTTGCTGGGAGAAAAACACTGATATAATGAACAATTATGGCATCAATGCTGTAAATTTTAGTTGTTTCTATCTACTGGGAGGTTATAAATTTCCTTGTAAGGTTTAATGCTTTAGGATGCACACTGAAACAGGTTTCATCTCAGAAGTGCAGTCCCTACCCTTTGAGAAGCAGGGTAAGTGAGCCCAGAGGAGTCCTCATGGTGTGTGACTCAGCTGTTTCATGTGTTGGAGCTGACCGCCATTAAGTTATATACTATTATACACTACACCACTTACATTCTATATGCCAGATATACACATTAGTATGCCAGTAGTGTAGTAGTGTCTACATGGAAGAAGTAGGTGAAAGAATGATCTCTGAAGTAGCTATGGTACTAGTGCTGGAAAGACCAGACATAGAAGCAGCAATGTAGAAAATATTTAAAGATCCATAGGATTGACTTAGATTCACATATCATAAAGTGGATGATTGAAAATCTGTGGTTTTACTATTTCAGGCTGTCTGTGTCTAAAGGAGAAGGCACGCAGTGAACTTGTTTTATTTTTCACCCATTCTGATAAATGAGAGGTGAAGTTACTTTTAATATTTAGTTGTGTTTTTTTTTTTTATTTCATATATTTCTACATTTTACTGGAATTTTTTTTTAATTTTATAGGAATTAAGATTTTTGCAGTTTTATTAATCTTTTGCGGAAGTTATATGATATTTTAGGAATTTACATATATAATGGATGACATGGGAGACTGGATAAAGACTGATGAGCTTTTCATTTTCAGGTAGTCAGTTTATAGCCAACTCAGGTCAATATAGATTGAAACTTCTTCTCTGTCAACTGCTTGTTGACAGTTTCAAGTGAGAAACAGAGGTATACAGAGAAAGATTACTAGTGTTGCTTTTGGCCATAAGTACCGCCCTACTTAATTTTTTTCTTTTTTTTCTGGATATCCATCATTAAGACAGGAGCTCATCATTAAGACAAGGCGATAAAATAGAAGAAATCCGTAAGTAAATTCATTATATACTTCTGTAAATAGTTACAGGTCTGTGTGAGTATAAATCAAGCCATACTAAATTATCAGCTATTTTAAAGCCATTTTCATAAAAGACCAAGTACCTCATTAAGAATGCTTTACCACAGAGAAATAAAAAAGAAAAAGAAAAAAAGGGCATTGTCAAAGTCCTAAAACTGTGTAATGCTAGATAAAAATACTCAGATAACTCTAGACAATGAACTATGCCCGTTATTACTGTGAGCACATAAAAAAATGCAAAGGCCCTTGACAGGGCACCTGTCTTCTCGTTTCCAAACTTGAGTGAATGAGCAAGATGCAATGGCTCAAACTACTCTCTGAACAAACACCAAATTATGTTAGAAAAAGTTATTTGACCAAGAGCCAGATGCAGAAATCTTGACACAAATAAATCTGTCTGTATGGAAGTAGGTGGCAGTGAAGAAATCATCACACACCCAAAAGTGATTCCACTGGTAGAAGGTCATACAAGCAGGGTGACTAGGAAATAAGTTGATTAAATGGATGTCTTTTGTAGCTATTGCTGATAGCGGTGGTGAGCTGCTTCCCAGCAGAAATTAGGATACTAATCCCATGAGCTGTTTCCCGGCAGAAATTAGGATATTAACCCCACTTTTTATTAAACCCCAGGCATGAATATCTTTTTCTTGCAACTGTTATCCAGGATGGAAGAAGATGACAAAGTTTACAGCTCCTTGTGAAAGCTTCACTGAATCCACTCTAAAAGTTGAACTGGTAACATGGAATGAAACATAGTTTTTATTGTCTTTTATGATCACTGATACTATTAAGTTAATGACCTCATTAATTCATACAGTTTTAAGTAGCATAATATTTTAATTTCTTTTCAATATTTTTTGTAATAGAAATAACAAAAAGAGATAGGATTAGGAGTTTAAAAGATTACCGAGATTGTTTCTGTAACATTTAAAGAATGTTATTTTCCTTTCATTTTGAAGATAGTTATTTGGAGATAGCAGTATTTATAACACGATTGTTTATGACAGTTGCATTCATGCTTTGGTTTTTTTAAAGGATTTAAATGTATGTTTATAAACATTATGTATGCATATGTGTATATACATATGCATATGTATACATACACCTATATTTATCAGATGTTAACTTTGCTTTGTATTTGTTGTATTAAGTTTCCAGATATGTGACAGATCCTACTACGAGTCTGTCTGATCGTGTGGAAGTGGGAAAGAAGAGGTGCAGGGGTTAAGTTGATCCTCTTGACAGGAAAATTACAATTCATGTGCTTAGGAAATCAGAAGACAGTCCTTCACTGCACAGTCCAAACACAGAAAAGCTGACTGATGGGAAAGAGGCTTGGCAGTGCAAATAGGTAGGTATCATACATAGTGTGAGGATGGTCATCACATCAGCCCCACATCAGCTTCATAGCATTCCTGTTCTGAAACCACTACTTATAGGAAGGAAACTATCCCTGTATTTGGGGGGAGAAATCATGAGTGCCTGTGATGTGAATGTGATTTTTTTCCAGTTACAGTACAATATTATTTATACTACACAAGGTATAATAAAGACATATTGTTTAATTATTAAGCAGAATCAGAGTGGACTGAAGGATGCTGTTGAGTGCTTTTCAGTTCAACCAAGCTTATATTTATGTCCTTAAAATAGTCAAATGAGGTCACAGGACTTTAAAGTTTACATGCATGCTACTTTTCTTTCAGATTGGTAGAAGCTTGAAGAGCTGAGAGGTTGTAACAATAATCATACACTGAACAATTTTCTGGAGACTAGGGTTCTATACTGATTTAAAACAGTGGTGAAATCTATCTTTGCAGTGTCAATTAGCTATAGTAGTCTACCTATTTCAAACTGTAATGTTACATTTTTAAACAAGTATCAATTTCAAGGATGAATCAGTTATGGGAAAGACAATTCTCAATAGTCAATCTAAGCATATATCCAGATTCTGTAAAAGGACTTGGATACATGTAGGTACCTAAATATTTAAAGGCAAGGATGTTAAGTAGAGGTGTGCACAACCTTCAGTTTAAGGATATACTTTTGCAAATTAACAAGCTTGTAAAATAGTTTCCTTCCCACTGAAAGACTATAAAGTATGCTATTAAGTTTTTATATCAACACAGCTATCTAGGAAAAAATCACAGCATGTCATACCTTCAGGTGACATCTCTGGAACAGTGGCCACATAAGGTCCATCCAAGAACTGTGGTTCATGATCATTGACATCTCGAACCTTGATAATAAATTCTGATTCAGGTTCAACAGGAAGCTGGGTATTCCCATTAATTGCTTGTGCTCTTAGAGTGTAGAAGGATTTCTTTTCTCGATCCAGCTTTTGTGTCACGTAAATTTTGCCGTTATTTTCATCAATGATAAAAATGCTTCCAGCTCCCTCCCCTGTCAAAATGTATTTTAGGTTGCCATCCTGCTTGTCTAAATCTGATTTCAGCTGCAAATACAAAACAGAAAAATAAGCCACATTTTGGGAGGAATAAAGTTTTGGAATATTTACTTTAGGCTTGCTTTGTTTTCATTCTACAGACAACCTTGTCACTAGTGAGCCATCTTGAATGTTAACATTTAAAAGAGGGTATGTCATATTTTCAGCCAGTCATGGCTCAGTTTTAAAGTATTTGATGTAACAGACATCATGCATATAAATGCATGATAAATCTGAAAAAAGGTGCTTGAGCCACTTTGAAGTAAAGGGGTTGAATGTAGGTACCTACTTCAGATCATTGCTTTATCAGCTCCCATAGACTTCAGCTGAAAACAATGGAAAGGTCTTTAAACATTATCTAAATTGTTTATTATTATGAATGACAAGTGTACTTTTTATGTTTTATATATTTTTTTGTACTCAACAATACTAAGTGTAAATATGAGAGACAGTGTTGTTCTACTTCTGTTGAAATATTAAAGAGATGAAAAGCCATTCTGTGATATAAATCTGTATTATTTATTCTGAAATAAATTGATAGACATTTTCCATTTCCTTCCAGAATGATCTGCATCCTCTGTTGTCTTGCTAAGATGAACTTTATGATGATGATTCCTCTGATGAAGGTGAGCCCTGGAGACCATTTTGGTCCAGTGCATTTGTTCATGCCAGCAAAATAGTTCTGTTAATGTTAACAATATGTAACAGTAGTTTCTTAATAGCAATAACTTAATTCCTTAACATGTCAAGCATCCACATTTGAATTTTATGCAAACAACAATTTCTATTGTATCATTAGTTCTCTAATTTTTTCTTTATTTCTGGGGGGTTTAGAACAAAAGATGTCAAAATCTCTAAGAGCATGGATAAGCATTGAAAAATCCAATGTAAAAAAGAAAAGTTTTATTCAACCTGCTTCTTCTACAAAGCAGCAGGTTTTAAATGTAAATAATATGTTTACCTGTTGAATTCAATAATCTCACTGTTTTGCTTCGTGTTTATTGACCCTACAGCTCAGTGTAAGATGAGGCCACAGAGTGGGAAAGAAGTAACTATGGGGTGTAAAAGGCATATTTCCCTACTGGATCTGCTCAACATATTTTGTAATAGCTTCTGAAGTTGCAAAAATTATTTTAGTTTTCTTTGGAACAATGCCCATGCCTTTTGAAGATTTTCATAGTACATAATTGTTTGCATGCATCAAATGCACAGGTTATTCAGAATGTGACTGGGACACTGCTCTGAGAGATGAGGAACAGTTTTGAGTTCGTGCTCTGAGTTCTGTCAGAGTATTTAGACCTTAAATTATATATAGTTAATTCTCCTTGCCAGTACAAGAGAGAGAAATTTCAAGGCTAGGGAGTTTAAAGCCATTTAAAATATGAACAACTTACTTTTAAACTCAAATGTTGTCAACATACATAGTTGTGTGCAAAATATGGGGCAGGTTCACCCCTTTATGAGTGGTCTGGTTGAACTCATTTTAACAACATTCAAATTTGGCATTTGGCAAAGGAGCAGCACAGATTCTTTTTGATCTATAACTATTGGTTTCCTTGTCATGAACCCCAGGGCATGGGAAAGGTGATGAATATCTAGATCTTTAATGTAAGATGGGATTCAGATGCGATCACAGAGTGCATCTAACCCTTAGAGACTAGAAGCATTCCTTGGACTGGCTGTTTAGACATAACCTATGTTGAATCACTTCACTCAGAATCATTTATCCCCAATGATATCCCCCCCTTCCAACCCAAAGATTCTATGATTCTATTACTCTGCTATAGACTGTCCAGTGGATGAGGAATTCATTGAATGGTCACACCCAGAGGGTAGTGGTCAATGGCTCAATGTCCGGATGCAGATCAGTGAGGAGTGGTGTCCCTCAGGGGTCCGTACTGGGACCAGTACTCTTTAATATATTCATCAGTGGCACAGACAGTGGGATTGAGTGCACCCTCAGCAAGTTTGCAGGCGACACCAAGCTGAGTGGTGCGGTTGACACACCTGAGGGACAGGGTGCCATCCAGAAAGACCTGGATGAGCTCAAGGAATGGGCCTGTGTGAACCTCATGAGGTTCAAGAAGGCCAAGTGCAGGGTGTTGCACCTGTGTCAGGCAAGCCCCAGTATTCAGGCTGGGGGATGAAGGGATTGAGAACAGCCCTGCTGAGAAGGACTTGGGGGTACTGGTGGATGAAAAGCTGGACATGGGCCAGCAATGTGCGCTCACAGCCCACAAGGCCAGCTGTATCCTGGGCTGCATCCAAAGCAGCGTGGCCAGCAGTTTAAGGGAGGTGATTCTGCCTCTCTGCTCCGCTCTGGTGAGACCCCACCTGGAGTCCTGCGTCCAGCTCTGGAGCCCTCAGTACAGGAAAGGCATGGACCTGTTGGAGCAGGTCCAGAGGAGAGCCACAAAATAGTTAATGGTTTTAAACTAAAAGAGAGTAGATTTAGATCTAAGGAAGAACTTTTTGCACAATGAGGGTGGTGAAACACTGGCACAGGTTGCCCGGAGAGGTTTCCATCCCTGGAAACATTCAAGATCAGGTCGGACGGGGCTCTGAACAACCTGATCTAGTTGAAGATGCCCCTCCTTATTGCAGGGGGGTTGAACTAGATGACCTTTGAAGGTGCTTTCCAGCCCAAATATTCTATGTATCTGTAATTCTATGATTACAGATGACACTTGCTGAGAAGGCATACTGACGGTTCTCAGCTTACCTGTTTTATTAAGCCGTAAATGAGAAGTGGAACAAAGAATTTATGTACTTGCCTTTATACATCTGTCATTGCACTGCTGATGGACACATTTCTTTTTCTTAAATATCATAATGGAAAAGGATTCATGAGTCTATGTTAAATGAAATTTAAAGATTGAGCTCTGAATCTGACTGAGAAAAGAAGTTGATATGGAATAGTGACTTAAAAACAAAGACTGTCTACCTTTGTATTTTCATTGATGCAGTTTCCTTCAGGGCCTTATTTACTAAAAATTCATGTGTTAATCATAGGCTGTCACTGCATTTACTGAAAGCAGAGCATATTGTACTCAATAAAAAGACACAAGTAAATATGTCTGACCAGGCAATGGTTAGTCTGCAATAAATTACCCATAATCTTCAATAAGATTTCCCTATAGTTTACCTGTGAGAAGCAGAAAGGAAAGATTATGAAGTTTTTCTAAAGCTGTATGAAAATACATTACATTTATGAAGTTTCTTTTACAGGAAACTGTTTTCCAGTTGTGGGAAAAGTAATAATAATTAAAAAATGAGTATGTCTACACTTGTTCTTTTAGAAATGAGACATCACACTTCCATAGTAGTTACTTTGAAGGGGCTGTGAAAAAGTAATTAATGAATTTTGAGCACTTCACCCTTTGGGCCCAATTAAATTTTAGTGCTAGTTAATTAGTAGTTAAATTTATTTTCGTTCATTCATCTAGAGAGTGCCTTAAAGAAAAGAAAACTAGATCTCAAGATTACATTTACTTCTAGCATACAAAAATAAATAATAATAAATAATAATAATCATCATCAGAGAGAGAAGAAAGAGATAGATAAAGTCTCATTAAGACAGTTATCTTAAAGCACATTTTTAAAGAAGAGTGAAAAATAATTGCTCATTGTGCTAAACCTACGTTAATCTAATGAACCATACAGATTCCTGTAGTTTCTCAGTGGTAAAAGGATTTAGTATTAATCTGCTTCATTAAAAATTAATGAGGGGTAAATCAGCTGCTACTTAGTGTAATAGAAAATCATGCTAAATACTGTTTGTAAACTACACTGCACTCAGTATGGCTGCTTTGATGCAGTGCCAAAAATAGCACAAGCACATTGCCAGATGTTGATAAATGAGTCTTTAACTTTCATTCAGAAGAGAGAAAGGAACTTTTCAGCTTGATACCTTTGTCTGCTGTGTATGGAACTAGTTTTAGTAACAGAGTGAATGTGGAGTTTCTTTGACAGCAGACCTAGGTGAGAGAAAGTCCTTGGTACTGCCATGACCTCCAGCTCTTATTATTCTCTGACCTTAAGTCAGGTCACAGGAAGGAAGAGATGTTGTGCTGCCTAATTACAGCTCCCTGAGCTCTTCTTTCTACTTTTCTTGATATTTCCAGTTCACTCGAGAAGCTTGATCTTCCAAGTCAAGGAAGTAAGTTGATAATCAGCACATTAAGTCTAACCTTGTACGGTCCTTGAATCATTACTTATCATACCTGTCCAACATACACAGGCACCATTGATGTCTGTTCCTCAGTTGCAAAAAGTGGCTCCCACACCCAGCCACGTTTCACTCTTCGAACTGCTGTGGAAGACTGATGTGTGTTTTCAGCGCTGCAGTTCTCCATGCTCATAGAGCAAGGCCAAAGTTGAACCAGTATCAGCACGAGAGATAGCAATATGGAGCAATTCATGCTGAACCCTTCTTTCAATCACTTTTCATCTGTGGAAGAGGAGAAAAAAAGAAAAAACTTTGACAAAGTGTCACTTTTGTCTTTCCACTTTTACATATTGATTCTGTGCTAATAGAAGAGCTGATTTGCAGTGTTAAAACATACTCCGCTCCCTAAAACGAAAGAGCTGAAATAAAGTCTGTTTGTGATTAAAATAGAGATTCTTTTAGAGACTCCAACATGAAAGTCAAGTGTTCAAATTTTCTTTATGAACACCCTACAGAGGGACTTTCTATGCAAAAAAGGAAAATCATCCTTCAATTAATTCATCTTCCAAATTAAGCTGGGTAATTGTATTGTGTAGCTTAGGAATAATTTGATTGGAATAATTGTATGTTTCTGCTTAGACAGGGCTCATTTTGAGCTACAGTCACAGAACTGCCTGAAGGGTGAACATGTAGCCTTAGTGGCCCTGATGACTGACAGCTGAAACAGAGCAGTGCAGATATTTTTTTTAACCTCTTCTTTCCCTCTTTCCCAACTCAGCAAAATGCCTGAAAAAATGCTGAAGGTGGTAGGGTACCATGAAGAAGCAGCAAAAATGTGCAACTTTCTCCTTTCTGGTCAATATATATTGTCTTAAATGATTTTATTACCGCTGACATTCTTGTCTTCAATTAAACAAAAGGCAAATGCATCTTGAAAGCTCTAGGTTTCTGCAGCTAGTTTCATTGGCACAAAGTATTCTTTCAGAAAATGAAGGCTTTGCACAAACTACATGCTACTATTGACTTTTTAGTGATTTTTAGTACAATAAATAAAAGTCTGAATTTTAAATAAAGTACAATGTTCAGTTAAGAATAGCCATCTTCTATGCGGCAAAAAAGAAAATTTTTAAAATCTTTACCACACACATTTCAAGTCTTAAAACCTTACTTGGTTCTGGCATTAGCCATTCTTTTCAAGGCTTGAAGCATGACATTTCCTATGCATAAGCAGTCTGGTTTATGAATTTATCACATACAAGTCAGTTTGTATAACACACCGGAAAAAATATTTGGCTGCATCTACTTTAGGCCAGAAAAATCCATGAGCCTTTAACTTGTCAAGGATAAAAAATGAATTTATGTATTTTAAGATCATGGTTTAAATAATAATGTTCTAAATACTCAAAATTATGCAAAAGAAAATGCCATAATTGCTTAAAATGACAGACAGGTCATATAGACAACTATTTCTTTCCTTCCAGAAATTTTACATGATGTTGAACAATATTATTTTAAAATGTAATCTGTGTGTATATACATTTATTGAGAAAAAAATAAAGGAATTCTAATAGTAAAGCATACAGAATTGTAGGTGTTAAAATGTGGGTTCCAATTTCTTAACATTTTCTGGTTTTCAACTGTAAAGCTGTAACTGTGCAAGATGAGACTTGAATGGAAGGAATGTGTCTTGGGTACTCTCTCGTTTCAGTTTTCTGTGGAAAATTGCTTCTTTATAAAGCTTCAAGAATAATATTTGTAACATGGAAGACAAAAAGGGTCTCTCTGTACAGTGGGTGTATTTAACGCTAAGCAGTTACTTGCACAGAAACTAATCCTCAGAATGAACACTCATTTTATTGCAGTACATAGCAAAGGACAGACAACTCAATTAAAACTGAATAGTCAAAGACACCTTTCTGAGGAATCATAAAGAAAATTATTTCAATCACTATTTAAATGAGGAGACAGGTTTTCAGTCTAGGCCATAGCAAATGTTTCCATTAGCTGATGTTTTAGCCACTTGTTCTGACCACCTTGTTCAACAAAGCGTTTCAGGCCTGTGGGGCAGTACTTCACGCAGAAGGAATGCCACACGGACACTCATTATCAAACTCATCTGACAGACACCGTGTATATGCATCAACATAGTGAGGGTACAGAATATGGCTATACTGGTCTACTGTTGGCCACCTTTCAATGCACTCAGCAGTTAACCATCAGCAATGAACAGCTTAAAGAGAATAATTAATGTTTTTGGTCTGTTTCAGTCTATACTGGTCTACTGTTGGCCACCTTTTATCAATGCACTCAGCAGTTAACCATCAGCAATGAACAGCTTGAAGAGAATAATTAATGTTTCAGTGTCCCGTCTTTACCAACTGATGTTAATAGCTTATGATATATGGATTTAAGCATCACATATCCCACAAATTGTGGGAATAAACATTTTTAAATTTTGACATGTTGTACAATGTTATGTGTATAAAAATACTTTAACTTGAAAATACAGACAGTAGGCAAATTACTGTAAAAAAGCATAAGGCTATGTAATGGAATTGAGTGTTATATGTATTTCTGGTTTTCTCTTCCCTGCTATATCAGGCATACTCAATTTACCTTTACTTTCAGGACCTTTCAAAGCATATTTGCTTCCAACATCTTTCTACTCATTTGGCGTTGAGACACTGCCTCCAGCCTCTGGCCAGCACATGTTGCCATTCTTTATATATCCAATTGTTCCCTTGTGAAACAATCACCTTCTTTCTGTTCCACAGACTGTAACTCACTCTCAGAAGTACCTCTTGTCAAATATCCAGAGGGTGATTTCTTATTCCCTACGCTATTTCTAGTCTTTCCTTAGAAAATCTAAATTTCAGTGTTACCTACTTAAAGGAAAGAAGTGTTCACAGTATTTAAGGTGATTCTGTGCTCAGACTGGTGCCTATCTCAATGACTAGTATTGTCTCATTATTCCTTTGTACTTCTCTGTCTTTTCCTATACATCAGCTGTCTCTTGTTTTACAGTCAATTTGTAAGGTCGTTGTAAATGAAATGACCTTGTACTCTGTGTTATAATATGTAGCAGAAAGGAGGATTATTAGAAGCACAGAGCTTTTAGGTGCTGTAGCAATATGCACAAGTAGATACATTTTTAATAGAATAATCTCTTATTGAAAAAAAAGACAAATATATTTCCAGAGATGAGCAAATGAGCTATCACTAATAATTTCCCAGGGGAAGAGAGAAATGGGGACCACTGTTCTGCTCCTCTCCTATTCTTCAGGAAGTACAACTCCACTCTCTCTCACTTGCATTGGATTGCAATAATAAAGACCGATACTTTGAACAGAATAATAAGAATATCAATTGCAGTTGTAATAAGCAGGCTACAACATTTAAAGTAGTTATCTTCCTTTTATACCCAAGGAAAATCATGAGTTCCCTGTAGGCTAGGAACAGATTTACCTTCTTGGCACAAAGTTGTAGAGTCCTTTGTTAGGTTTATTCTAGAACCATCACGAAGTGACACCCTCTCTCCCCTTGAAACTGGATATTAGTTTTAGGTGTGCTGGTAGTCTGACTTGGTTCTGATTTCCCTTTGTTTTAATAATAGTAATTTATTTTAAATTATGACCATGTCATTAAATTACAAAATACCTGTTATGCCTAGCATTGCAAGAATAACAATAGGAAGAACAAGAGGTTTAACAAATACAGACTCTGGGATATCATGATGTTATATATTTGTTGGTGGAAAAAATAAAAGACTAAGGGCAGACAAAAGAACAGCCTTCTAAAGCATTAAACCCCCCCAAAAAATAGATTGCAGTGAAGGTAAGGATAAATTCTGTTCCAGCTCTGTTAGCTGAAGAATAAGGAAAAAACAGCTTGATTTTGTAATAAACCCCCCATAATCTGATGTAAGTAAAGCTTTTTAATTAGGACGTAGCAAAACACTGGAACATGTTAACAAGGCACATAGTAGATTCTCCTTAACTAGAGACATTAGGACCATCTTAAATATGTACTTGATCCTACTTCACAACAGGACTTTGAAAGAGTGACTCCCGAGAAAAAAAAAGCTCTCTGTTCTTGAAAGTACTGAGCAGAACCAAAAATGCCAGACTGAAAATCATTCCTTTTGAGGAATTTGGTGTTGTCTTCGTTAGTTTTAATAATACTAAGCAAAAAACAAGGTGGAAAAAATAATGCAAACCAATCTAACTCATTAACATGCAGCTTCTGAAACACATTTCTTATCACAGGCAGAGGCCTAACATGATGTTGTTTCAGTTTCAAGTTCTATTTTGTGCATTGATGTTATGATTATAGTGAAAGTTGTCTCCCTTGTATGTTTCTATCTTTAATTTTCACTTAATAGGGTAAAGAAGAAAGGGCATTTGTAGCTAACACCTACATATGACTGTGTTAGAGAAAGCTTGAATGGATAAAAACCTTCATAGTCTCAACTATACATTTGTTCATTTGTACTGTGTTTACCAGCTATTCGTCCTAGTTCATTTAATTTGGCTGATTACTGGTAATCCTTGTGTGTTTTAGTGCTGCTACTCATTTTCCTTCTAGAAAAGGCTGTGTATGGACTCATTTTCATTGACCAGTTTGGATTACACACAATATGATAGAAACCTAGGCTATATTCCTTCTAGAATTCCCACAGAATTAATCATATATGTATCATTAATGTATATACTTTGCGGTCTTTTTTTTTTTTAAATCGGTATGGAACAATGATAAAATCTTCCAGAGTGTGTGAAGTAGTGGACTTAATCCTATTCTTGTAACTTCTCACTGTTGCTGAATTTCACATAGAGGCAGATAGCAGTTTTTACTGGTTTGCTGTGTTAGAACCTCTTCATTACCATTTTCATTGATTTTTAGCTGTGATTTGATCTATAGCAATCAGCGCCATTTTTTAAAGTAATGTTTCCATTCTTCACGTGTGTTAAGTATTTTATTTGGACACACTAGAAAAAGGCATAATAAACCCCTAAGGAATAAATATAACATATTTAGCTCCAACTATGTTGGATTTGCCTTCTGGTTCCATTGATTACTACCATCGTAGATGAACACAGAAGTCACTATTATGACAGTAATGTTTAACTGAGTTGATAAAAAGCAACAGTGGGAAGAAAAAACTAAAATTTGTAGGAATTTATTTTGGTATTTGTACTTTATTTTTTACTGACAATCACAGTTGTCATATGTCACATATACATTGATTGATTGATTGAATGATTTTTGTGAATAAGTAAATTTAATATCAGTCCTCCTGTAGCTCAGGTCACCTTTTCTATAATGCCTCTCATCTTATGTTTATCTATCTGCCTGACTTATTTTCTTTACAATTAGTTTATTGTTTAATATTGGTTTAGTTTTAGATATTATTTATATTGAATATAAACATTTTCATTTAGTCTTTTTTGACTTTCTGGTCTTTCACACTTTTTTTTTAATAAATTTGGACTGCTACATCTAACAAGTATGCTGAATTTAATTATTCTGTGGCTGTCAGAACTAACATCTAAAATGTAATAATGTCTCCAGTCAATTAATTAAAGGTATATCAACAATAGTCTTGTTAGTTTGTTGCATGACTAGCTATTTTAAAAACTACTACTTAATCTTAAGAAGTGTTATCTTCAATGCATGTCTTGATGTGACACTTGACCAAATTATATTGACTGGTAGGGCATATTAACACAGTATGGCTGCATGTGTCTCTACTAGTCACCCAGCACTTCATTTATGTTATGAATGTGATATAAATTTCACTTTATTCTAATTGGCACATTATTTTCCTCATTTTGTAAATATGCTATTGTACCATTAGGGAAGGCCTTCAAATTATTATATAGAATTTCCAGAGTAATTATCTGTCAGTTATACATGGACAAAATAGGTTTAGAGAAATTAATTTGTTAGTTGATTAGTGCCTTTAAGTCTGTTGGATTTTAATCAGTGTAGAGCTAACTGACTAGAAATCCTGTCATTCCTATTGTTTTATAATGGTTTACTGACTATCTTTCCAGGTAGTATATTAACACATATTATCTGACCCCAGTATTTTACTAGAATATCTGTGACACCGTAGAAAAAAGCCCAGATGCCATTTTCAGATGACAAAACCCTGAATCTTCAAAACATGACAAACAGTATGAAGAAGTCTGTCCATCCTAGAGATTCAAAACATCTTTTACAGTATCAAATTGTGATGTTTATTTCTTCAAATCCTATGCCTCCCATAAAAACCAAGATATGTCACACTGACAAACACGCAGAGCTCCAGCAGATTCCCCAGGGGTAATTACATTTTGGGAATTAAACTCTTTTGGAAGCGTAGCTTTTTCAAATGTTATTAACTGAAGCATAGAAGTTATTTGGTGAATAGTTTCATAGACAAGAGACACAGATATTCCTACTGTATTTTTTTGTAAGAGGGAAAAGGAAAGGAAAAATGAAGAACGAATATCTGTGCCTCTTGTCTAAACACTGGTAAATTAGTTATTATATTTAGTTCTTTTTCATAGATTATTCTGCCATCCAGTTTCAGTCCAGATGCTTCCTAGCTGAAGAAAAATTGAAATGTTTACCTTAGGACTTAACTTTATGAAAAATTATGTTAATTTTCTGAAATCATTCAATAGTTTCAGCAATTTAATTCTGCTGAAAAAATCAATTTAGTAAACAGATGCTGAGATGCTAAAAGATTCAGTTATGCCAGTAGTTCTTGTACATTGCAATCTCTACACTAAAAATAAGTAAAAGTTTAGTTTTAATTGTAGTTTTCCTTAAGTATGACTATTATTTATTTTTAAGATAGTTTGCATTATAGAAAATTATGACTAAACCCATTCCTTTTAGCATAAATATTTTGCTGATTAAAAAGACTAACACATGTACACAGTAAAAACAGAAATTCATGCCTTCTGGCATTTGCTTTTTATTGTGGAGAAGTAGCAAATCCAATTACAAGATGTTTGATTCACTGGGCAAATCCTACTGGAACATTTTTAGCTCTGCAGGATACCTCTCAGTACTGAAGAACCACTTGTCAGCATAACGATGTAAAGGACCACATTCTGTGATTCACACTTAAATCTGTTTGCCAAATGATTTTCAGGAAGGTACTTCATGAAATGCTCCAAAACTCTCCTTAGGATTCAGGTTCCTTTTTTTTGTTTTCATTCATAATTATTCTTTGCATACATTAAAACTAATAGCACAATGAATTCACCTTTCTCACAGTTTTTCAGGAGATTTAATTCCTCCAAACATCAAATATCCAAGGATAAGAAGAAGCTTCAACATTTCAGTTAAACAGATGCTTTTTGCTATAATGTTACTTATTTTTAAACTGTTGGTTTTGGCTTTAGAGTCAAATTTCCACAGAAAATGAGGTAAATCAGAAACACCCTTAAATTAAATCATCCAGTCTTTGTCAATGGGAAACTGGACTGAATTCATATTCAAATGCTTATATTTGAGGAAATTTACCAAGACTCATTTGTAAAGTAAATATATGATCATAAAAACAAACCCTTTACAAGCAGTTAAAGTAACCATACCTTCACATAAAAAAAAAGGAAGGAAAGAAAAAAAAAAGATAACTTTTAATTTTCATTAATTTACTTTGTGCTCTGTTTATTAATAAAACACATTAAGGTAAATAAAACAGGGAACAATTACTTTCAATAGTATTAAAACTTTTCATTATAAGCTAGAAAATTTGCTGTGCTACATAATATAGTTTAAAGATCCAATTTAAATTAATGCTGTTGGCTAGGATGCTGTTGGCCTTCTGGGCCACCTGGGCACACTGCTGGCTCATATTCAGCCGGCTGTCAACCAGCACCCCCAGGTCCCTTTCTGCCAGGCAGCTCTCCAGCCACTCCTCCCCAAGCCTG